CAGAGTAGCTGGGGAGTGGGAAGATGAGAACTGGTGAGTGGGTAGTACAAGTTGAATACGCGGAGTATCTGTGGAGCTGGAAGATGAACACTGGCGACTGTGTCGTACAACGGTAGTACGCGGAGTAGCCGGGGAGCTGGAAGATGAGAACTGGCTGCCTCAACTTACTCGGACACGCACACAGACAGAGACGCATATACACATGGACATAGATACACACACAGAGACCCACACATTACCTCAACTCACTCGATTTGACACTTCACACTGCACACGTAACAGAGAACTCGCACTCAGACTTCCTACGCGATGAAACTACTAGGAGCAAGGACGCTACTAGGTGCTCCTGGACTTACCTACGTTTCGTTTAGATTCATATAGTTTGGTTTAGGCACGTCTCGTTGCGTGTTCGTTTTTTTGAACTTGGAGTATCGAGGCTGTGGCGGGATGTACGCGGCGGCTCAAGCAGAGAGACCGGAGCATTTTCAAAATGAGATCGCACAAGTCTCGACAGACCGTAGGCGGGTACATACAGCAAGGCAAGAGCAATAGACTCGCACTCTGACTTCCTACGTGATGAAAAATGCTTTCGGGCCACTCGTCGTCTAGTTGTCTTTCAGGTTTGGTGCCTGCACTGGTGTTTTCTACCCTGTCCGCTGGAACAGGTTGACCTGTGAAAGGTTTTTGCTCCTTTGAAAGGGGTGCGTGACTGTCTCCGGGATTGCATTCCTACCACATTGTGTAACTCTCTCAGCTTTGTTTTCCTTTTCGGGCAAGCGTTGGATGAATGACCGGATTGGATTTCGGCGGCGTCGCAGCGATCTCTCTGTTCAGTTGGGACGGAGGGCATACGTCAGGCACCAAAACCTTCGCTCCTCACGCTTCTATTTCTTGTCCTCACGTGGTCAGCTCCCCGCTGACTGAGCAGCATGACCAGCATCATGTTCGCGCTTGAAGAATAATTCTTCCCCAAAAAGGTTACTATAGTTTACTGTTAGGGCTTCTCAATTCTTTCTTAAGATGTGTCCGCCCGCTCTGTACTGCAGTGTCCGTCTCTGCCTTGCAATCCTTTACATTTGTCTCCCAGCTCTGGGCTGCTGTGCGAGCCACGGAGAACAAGGCATTTGAGACTCCGTAGCCATGTTTTGAGGGGGCGCCTGCAACTGAAGCTATGGCATCCTGAACATGTCCCCGGCGCAGATTTGTGCTCCGACCTTCTCACCAAGGCCATCACATTGCCCCGGTCTTGGAGCGCGTTTGGTGAAGCTGTTGGCCTGAAGTCTGCAGCTATGAGCTCATCTGTTGACGGTGAGCGATCCTCCAAGGCGATGAAGATCGCGTGTGGCGCGGCCGCGGCTTTGGGCATGATCACGGCGCTTCGGGGGCTCAGTGGAGTGACTCGTGTCGCCTCTATGCTCGGTGTGGCGGCATTGGCCGCACTTGTAGGTAGCGCTTCAACAAAGACGGCCGTGCGCCAGTCCAAAAAGCGGTCTAACCCAGCCCCATCAAGACATGAAAAAAGATGGTCGAGGGAAAATGAACCCGACCCATGTAGGAAAGTCCATGAAGGTGGAACTGAGAACAGGCAGGTAGGTTCGTTCGCCGACCGTCGATTCGACCTTTGCCACCCTGGACGGCCCCGGCGCGCCATCAACCAGGGCTGCACCGCGTATCTGTGCACTGAGGTCCTCGGCTGTCCACCGTGGCCTGGGGACTGACACCCCTTGGGCTTTGGGCCCGTTTCAGAGCCCGCCGACAGGCGCTGATCGTTGGGAGCGCCTTCAGGAGACGGTGCTGGAGAGTGGAGGTGAAGCGCTTCAGCGTCCTGTTGTCCCTGAGCTGACAGCTCGGGCAAATCCTCCTGGATACGGGGGGTCCGCTCCACTTCAATCCAGAGCGCTGGAACGAGGGGGCGCCGCTGCCAGGAGAAATGGTGACGTGGGCGCTCCTCCGGGTCTCTCCGTCCCTGAGGAAATCACTGCGCGAGTCATTGTCGACTATGATGGTGGCCAGGGCTACGCTGCTCGTTTGGAAGGCTGCCAGAGGTGGGGAGAAACTGACAGCAATGAGCTGGCCTGCACGAGGGCCTTGGAAGGAGAGGGTGTTCTCTCGCCGCGTGGTGACTCGCTTCCTGTCTGGCTGGGCATTGAGACGGCTGCTGGTCGGCCGGCGGTGCGAAGTGAGAGCAACTCGGATTCCCATTCGGAAGGGAGCTTAGAATTTTACAGTAGACTCGACGAAAAAACCTGCTGCACATCCGACCCTTTTTGAGATGTACTGGCGCCGCCAGTAGGGGGAGTGTGGAAAGCATTCCTTTTCATTTTGGGCAAGGCTTAGAACACCTGAGAAGGTGACACCAAGGTCAGCGCGACCTCAACTAGTTTCGCTCAAGGGAGAACAAAGTCCGCACTGAAGGACTGACATCCTCTTTTTTACCCAAGCTCAAATTCAAATAGAAGATGTGCCCGGAGAGCATTCCAAATACAAGATATACTCTGCCACAGAGGTAGCTCCTGAGATCCAACTTGGCCTTTCTGGGACAAAACCTGTTGAGAGAGGTTGGAAGTCAGAATTTACTGGTATTTACTGCAAATCCTTCCTGTTAATCCCAAACATGGCACAGTGCTCCCAGGAGGAAAATTCTTGGATTTTTGCACAAGATCTTCCGGTCTGGGAACAACTCTTGCGGCAGGACCCTTTTTCTGTAACCAGGAAGAAAGTGACAAAAACCTCGAGTTGTCTTATTGTCGAGTCATTAAAAAAGATTAAAAAGTCAAATAGAAGATTCTATTGGCAGTCAAATAGAAGATATTGATTTTAGTTTTTTTGAGGGGTTCATGGTTATGCCAAACTGCTGTTCAACAATATCTTCTATTGGAAACTGTTCCCTTTGCTACGCAGAATCGCGTCTAAGCGCTGGCAGGAATTACTGCCTGCTCTATGGTAAGGAGCTTTTTTTTGGCAAAGTCCTTGAAACCCGTACAGCCTAAAACGATAGCATTCCAAGCAAACAACCACCATTTCTGCGCATATTATATTATATATATTCCAATTTTTTAAGCATCCAGGGTTCCCTGCTCTTAGCTATCGGAGCTATCGCTATCCGCCACACGCTTTCTTCGGCCAGCATCCGGGCGCGGAGGGCGCGGGCAGAAATCACAAATTTTGAAACAGTAATAAAGGCAGAATCCGAAAGTCAAATAGAAGAGCAAAGTCAAATAGAAGATCCACCACAAAAGCCGGCAATGATACATATATATATATGTTTTTGAGCAGAAAGTCCAAAATGCCAAAGTAGCTAAGAAGACTCAAATTTTTATCATTTTCATCCAATAATTACCGTGATCTTCTATTTGCGTTGTTTGCCGGGAAGGTGCCCGTGTACCGTTCAAATAGAAGATATATAGCTGCAATTTCTTCTATAATTAAGGTAGCTAGTGTATATATATATATATACGTATATCTATCTATCTAACTATCTATCTTAGTTTTCCTTCTAACAGTTCCAATGATTCAAGTTGCACCTGCACGCGACATGTTTCCAGGGCAAGCTCAGCACTGCAAGCATATTCCTGCCCCCTCCTGCCAATGTGCAGACCACTTGGCAACAGCCCAGAATGCCTCCGCGCGCGACATACATGAACACCCGCGCAACATCTGCAGACTCCACTTCCAAGTGTCGCCTCGGCGAACATCAGGCTATCTTGTTGTCCTGCGGATCAAGAGCTGCAACAAAGGTCTTGTACCAAAATTCAACTTCCACCTTGGGCTGCTTGCTTTGTTACGCTTGAAGGCTGTGTTTACAGGCTCAAGCCGACCCAGACACGACAAATCCGCTGAGCAACGTGCACTGTTTTGAGCCGCAACCTTTTGGGTACAAATGCAAATATGGCGCGGTGTATTTCAACACCCCCCTCTGCATTCGATCTGAAGCGTGATGCAGCATTTTGCCAGCTTTTGGAAAAGCGGCATAACAGTGACACTAGCAGCTAGCAAAGTGAGAAGTTGGTTGCGACGATACGTCACCGCCCAAAAGCGTAAATCGCCATGTGGCCCTGCTAGCGCTGCTATGAGGCGTCAAGTGTGGGCGGTTATTGAACCGTCGGCCATATGCAACCCTGGCCCCCCCACCAAGACGCCAAAAGCGCCCCCATTGCAATCCACCCCACGGTGTTGGGATCACAATGCTGCCGGACTCTTCGCAGGTGGCTTCGGTGGTGGGAATTCTTGACTGGGCTTGGTGCGAACTTGGCAGTGGGCCATTGGGATCAATGTCAAGCTTGATCAAGCTGATGTTGGTGTTGATTGATGTCCTGACTCAATGTTCTTGGCGGCGTCTCTGCTTCAGGCTCAAGAACTTGACTTCCTCGGCTGCGTTTCTCTCAAGGGCCTTTGCACTTTGGGCCTTCTTCTGAGTAGCCTGTGTGTCAGCGATCTTGACCAAATAGGCGATAGCATTGTCAATCGAAGCCCTGTGACATGGTGATGATAATAAAGACTTGAATTGAATGAGTGCACTCATGAAGTCCCTTGAGGTCCAGGACTGGCGCCACTGTCCCATCTGCGTCCGGAGGGCTCCAAGCCTCGTCACGAGGTCTTCTTCCGCTGGCTCTGTAGGCCATGACCCGTCTGCTGAGTGGCCGTACCAATCTCACCTGCGTGGCCGCAACCGGCGTCAGAGTTCCTGTGATGCCCGCACTACAAGGGGCGACCAAGGGCCGCCGAGAGGATCACAAGGCTGTAAGGTGATGTAGAATAGCTTGCCATACTCCATCAACATTAAAGTGGTGCAAGGCGTCCGCTATCACGCACATTGCTGCCAGCCCATTCCACTAGCCAAAAAGTGCCATGCCACACGCGACACCCAACACACAGCGACATTCAAACAGGCTTTAGCCAAAACGGCCCACACCCACCAGCGCCCATCGTCTTCTATGTGAACATATCTGCAAAAATATTTTGCTCATTCTTGCATCAACTTGTTGATGCTCGTCTTCATCACCACTTTACATTCACTTCCTAAGCAGAATACAAGTTCAGCTTTGCCTATGGCTTTCGCAAAAAGGGTCTTGAGCCGTAGGCATTTGCAAGTGACTCGGCCTGAGAAATCTGAAGGATTTCCTTGTCCATGAACCGCTTCCCAGGTGGTGCCTGCATGTTCATCCAATTTGTATGGACTGTGCGGATGGTACCCTCATGTTGCACAACTACCCTTTCTTACACAAGCACAAGCATCGCACCCTACCGGAACAAAGTCATGTATGGGTCACTTGCTCCGTTCGTAGCGTCCGTTCTCGCTCCGTTCGGTTCGCGATGCCAGGGTCGCCCCGTTCGTAGCGTCCGAACGCTCCTAGTAGTAAGGCCAGGAGCCCTGTTCGTAGCGTCCGAACGCTCCTCGTAGCGTAGTATCGCATTTGGTCATTTGTTTGGGTAGGCTTCCAAGGCTTCCAGAGTCGCCTGTCAGAAGGTCAACAAAAGGGTAAAACCGGGTAGGCTTCGGAACGGAATGGGATCGGACTTTTCGCCAAGAGCAAATCGGATCCCTATCGGTTGCCCCCCTGGCCTCGCTCTCCGTATGGTTTGTTTCGGGGGTCCCGGACGTGGACGGTGCCGTGTCGACTTGCAGACGGCCTATTTATTAAAAACTATATATAACCGTTCTTTTGGGTCGGATGCCTTGATCAGAATGACATGTGAAAGTGGCTGGGCAATCAATATATTGTTCCACTATCAAATGCTGCTTAGCTCCTCTTCTTGCTTGCCTCCTGATTGCCAAATTGAACACACAGTGCGTTCTGGCCTTCAGCTCACAGTAGGACATATGTGCAAGGCTCAACAAACTAGAAACCCGTTTTGTGACTGACACTGTGTTATTCCACAAACAAGCAGAACCTGGCTCCAGACATCGCGCTGAGAGCAGATATTTGCTGGGCCAACACGGGCATGCTTTGTGCCTGAATCGAAAAGACTTGTATAACTGCAGACAGCTCCAAACAGCTAAGGCTTTGACTTCGCCTAGTGCTGCCCTGGCCACCTTGGAAGTCTTGGCAGCTGTAAAAACACGTTACAGTATATATAGTGCGCTGTACTATTGAAACTGTAGATCACTGCTAGACTCTTATGCGACACTCAGTATGGCACCTCAGCAAACTCCCACCATTCCAGTGCAACATTCGCCTGAAGTGGCAAGAAGTCCTTGTAAGGACAGTCTCACATGTGCATATATGTATATATACAGTATATGAATATATTTACAATGTGTTGTTTGCCCCATGATTGAATCACCTGACCTCAAAATGCACACTGTGATCTGTCGCAGCTCTCCCACATGCAGCCGCTAGGCGGTAAAGCAGCGCTACACACACCTGCACAAACAAGCAAATTGGAACCAGCGCACTTGCACATGAGAAAGCATCAATCAGTCTTGGAAGTTCAAAAGTGCAAGGGCGAATGAATGACTATGGCTTTCACTTGGCAAGTTGCCAGGGGTAAAATGCCAAAGGTAATAATTTGGCATAGTGCCTCACCACCTTTCGATATGGATTGTGTCAACAGTATCAAATCGGCTTTATGTCCGCACAACCCGGGGACAGAAGTGTCCTCTAGGAACTGATGCTAAACCTGTAGGAAAGCAAGCTTTGCTGTGATATGTTGATGTGATTGTGCTGGTGCTGCTTTGAGTGATCATGTGCGGTGAAGTCTCATGTCGCTGGTATGATATTGCAATGATGCGCCTGTAGTTTGTAGTGTCGAGAAACACCATGTCATTATGTGGTGAATAGACAGTAGACAGCAATTAGACTAAACGCTCTTGAACACTTGTTCCGACAGTGTCTCTGTCCTAAGCGAATGCGGAATCAACGCGCTGCAAGCCGCGAGCAACTGGCAGCTTTCAGGTCCATGTTTTCCAAAGCATTCAATGCACGACACTGTAACCCTCTGCCGACGCGTTCTGAACTCGCCGAGTCCATTCAATGTCAGGGCTATGCGAACCACCTCCCCACATCCGTGGCCCGGACAATACGCGCAAATATGCGCAAATGGTCCCCCGCTGCTCTCCTTCTTCCGGCAGAGCTTTCTGATCGAAACTTGACAAACATGTGGAACTTTGGTTAAAGTTAGGCTTGGTTCCGTGGCTTCTAATTTTAGAACTGTGGTTCCTTGGGTTGCCCAATCTTGCCCTCCACGTCGCATCAAGATGTTTCCACTGTTTGGTTTCGCGCCATCTTTACGGCCGTATAGGAGTTTTCACTATCAGTAGCAAACCCAATGAAGAAGGTGTTAGATCGGTGAACTTGATTGCAGCCTATACAGAGTTGAATCCAAACCTGAAATGCGTTTTCAACCATTTCCTCCTCATAAGGAATTCCAACAAGCGAGCGGTGCACCTCGCATGCACTTCTTGGCAAGGTGCACGGTTTTCTATTGTGCCTTAGCTTCTAAATGAAACCTCAACTCAACTATGCTCATTATGTTATGTCAAATCGAGCAGTCTCACAGTGAGTTTGCGGCCACCAAAGTGCTTTCGACCCATACGAGCACACTGCGCAGGCCAAACTTAGAGCCTCAGTTTTGCAGGTTGCATCAAGCTGACACCGTTGAAGCTTGTTTGAGAGTCAAGCCCAAGAACGGGCCGACAGGCCATGAAGGTCCTGCAATCTTGAAGCCAGGAAGGTGAACGAAAGCTAGCCACTGCCAAGGAAGAGCGACTCGAGCTGGCTGAAGCTAGCTTTCGTGACCACCAAGCAGCAGCAGCAGTAGCAGCAGTAGCAGCAGAAGAAGCAGCAGCAGCAGCAGACCACCAAGCAGCAGCAGACCACCAAGCAGCAGCAGGCCACCAAGCAGCAGCAGACCACCAAGCAGCAGCAACACCACCACCAGACCACCAGACCATCAGCAGACCAGCAAGCAGCAGCAGACCAGCAAGCAGCTGCAGCAGACCACCAAGAGCAGCAGCAGCAGCAGTAGTAGTAGTAGTAGCAGCAGCAGCAGCAGCAGCAAACCACCAAGCAGCAGCAGCGGCAGCAGCAGACCATCCGGCAGCAGCAGACCTTCCAGCAGCAGCAACAGCAGCAGCAAACCACCCAGCAGCAGCAGCGGCAGCAGCAGACCACCCAGCAGCAGCAGCAGCAGCAGCAGCAAACCAAGTTTTTGATGCTAGACGTGACATGCTGCCTCCAAATCGGTTCAAAACCAGTGCTAAATTTAGCAATCGTTTTGCACCGCTTTCGCGCTGCTTTTTCTATGCGAGTGGATCTTAATCAGCGAAGTTTGAAGCTATCACTGACGGTCCATAAGCGGCGTAGCGTCGGAACGGAAACCGCACCTTTTCTAGTCGCTTGATCCTTGAGCCAAAGTACATATGGTACATATATATGTACAAGTTGCACTGTACGTGTCGCTGCACTTCCATTCGCACCCCCCATGTGAACGGCAACAATATGTTCCGATCACACACGAAAATTTAGGGATGTAAGTGCTACGAAAGAAATTGTATGATTTGCCGCGAGACTCATATGAGGCTCATACTACGAAACATGCTGGACTAAAGCGGACTTTTACATATAAAGTGTGCAACTATGGCTCAGAACCTATGAAAATCGAATTGAACAAGTGAGACAGTCACGAGGCCTCGCTCAGTATCCACTCAAAAGAGCATCGCTTTGATGTAGATCCGAACTGGTGACTTCCACGTAGATGTCACATCGGCAACTGACTTCACACTTCTCAAAAGATGTAGGTTTTGGTTTGGATACACTTACAGAACGGCAAGTCGGAGAGACAGTCGGTGACTGTCTGCCTTCCATTATGCTCATGGTATCAAATCGGATTGATGATTTGCAATGATACACTTACAGCGTTTCAGGTCAGATAGACATCCGGTGAATGACTTCCTCCCTGGTTTGCATGGTATCCTCATAGTCGTTCAAAGAAATCACCACTGGCGATAACCTCTCCATCCACTATGATCCCAGCTGCCCTGAGCATCCCGCCGATCATCTT